AAGCGTTCTCTTGGGCAGAATATTGCCGTTTCTGTTTTTCACATCAGTAGACTGCTGCTACACTGCCAGATGTGTGGTCACTGCAAAACCAGGGAGATCTTTTGAATTGCTTGGTCCTTTCTTTTAAGAAACAGTTTTTTGTTAAACAAATAGAATAATTATAATATATATCATAATATAATGTCATATAAGATTTACAATAGTTATGAATATCATTAAATCTGTAAATGTGTCATTAAATAATAATAGTGTGACATTATTTGGCAGATTTAACATTTATTTAATTTGTAATGTTTTAAAAAGTAGCTCATACAGGCAATAAAAAGGTTATAAAAACATCTGGGTGTAAATGTAATTCACCCAGTGCTCATAAACTAGGGGTAAAATATCCAAACATATCTTAAATCTAAGTCTATAACAACTAAACTGAAATTTCCCTTTTCAGTGGCAATAACATGCTAATAGTTGTCCAGCTAGCAACACTAGGTTCAGTTGGCAAGCCATTACCATCAACCTGTTAAATAGCCTAACTAGTCTAATTCATTTTTTTGTCATTGTCATTGTGTTATATGTAAGTTAGCTCATTTTTACTCTACATACTATAAAGAATTTGAGTGTTGCATACCTTTGACCATTTTCTGATGCTATAGGCCTGCTGGTGGAGACACTAGAAATGTGACAGCTACACATGAGCTGCTAGACATCAGCTACATTGCAGCAAAGCACAATGAAAGTAAAAGTAACTGACATCAGCAACATTCATGCTAATATTTAAAATACACAAACATAAAGAAAGATTATAGCTCATTATAAATGGTGAAAAACAGGACATTTTGCTATAGACACCTGCATGGAGAGTGTGATGGAGCCTGGCTGTGGCGCAGACTGTTATGTGTGAAAGAGATATTAACCATAAAATGGAGCTGATCTTCCTGCATACAGTCACACTTATCTCAGTGTGCAGTAAGTATATCATAGGAAGATAATTGGCCAAATTGTAAGCTAAATCCGAGCCGTGCAATTCATGTTAAAAGTTTCCAGATAATTTTAAAGCGAGACGGTAATGTGGACTATTAGAACCCTCCATTTAATGTTTGACTTATTTCAGTCTTATTCAAGCAGCAGAACTGTGCTGATAAACACTTAAAGAGGCGGTTCACTCAAAATCACAGAAACCATATTTACATAGTTATCTCTACTGGTGTTAGGAATGCAGATGGGCTTGGTTTTATTTACCCAGATTTTGGGACATTTATATTTGATTTTTTCCCCTACTCCGATACAATTTAGGTGAATATAGAGTTTGTGTTGCTCACAGCATTGGAACTTACTTAGCTCTTACTTTTAATCTACAGAATAAACTATCAACTGTTTTAATAGGCCATGTTTTCAGTCTACACGAGAGATATAGGCACACTGAAGGCCAATATTAGGCCAAAACCTACGAAGTAAAGATGAGGGCTTTAACTCGCCTTGACAGAGGATGGCTGACCCTCCTCAGTCTGGTCCTGCTGTACTGTCATGGGATGGTGGAGCTCTGTGGGGAAACATACACATACAGACAGTTGTGATTCATGCTCTGTGTGGGGGGGTTTCTTTTGTGAATGTTGATGTTTGTGTGTTTCTAGGCAGGGGTCATGGTCTATAAAGTCAAAACCGAGTTGTCAGGGGTCAAGCGAGGCTCATATATAATGGATGAGAGAGGGTGAGCGAGAGCGTAGAATCGCCATACAGTCATTTAACTGGAGCCTCTCTGCATATTTGCTTTATAATTGATGGTGATGAGGTTCACATGAATGACAAGAGGAAATGAAGTGCAGTTCAGAGCGATGGATAATTAACATTATTAGAAAGGTCAGTGGACACACACAAACACACACATATACA